TATATATATATATATATATATATATATATATATATTCTTTGTGACTAACTTCTATTGTTAACACTTAACAGTGTGCACGAGTAGACGAGTATATGACAATTTTGGAACTTCAAATTCAATTTTGATAAGTACAATATTTCACTCATGTTACTCTTTTTATTTCAGTTTGTTTGATGTCTTTTATTTACAATATTTTTTTTGTTCTTTTTTTTTAATTGTTTTTTTCCTCATTATTGATGATTTTAGTATACTTATTATTTTGCGCATTTTTTTTAAATAATCTTTATTATTTATAATGGAAGACAAGATGAACATATGACAATAATTAAGTTTAACTTTCATAAACTCACAAGGAAAAGGAACCCTACATTAATGTTTGTGTCCATTAATCTTCAAATGGTGTAGTGAACATCAAGAGTGTGTACAAATTGAATAATTAGAGGCTAGGATAATTTTCTTTGGTATTCCTACAAAGATTATTTTGTTTATTTGTTTAATTTTAATTTATTTTAATTTTCTTTGGTACTCCAACAAGGATTCTTTGATTAATTTATCTAATTATAATTTATACCTACACTAAATAATATTATTGAAATTTCAGGTATATTAATTTTAACTTTGAAGACTTGATCGTTTTGTCTATTATCTTTTAAGGTTTTTTTAATGATTTCAACATTGTATATATTTTATTTTGAATAATGAAATCAATTTTGAGGATTAGGAAATTTCACAATTTTTATTTATGTTTACCTTTTAGAATAATTTAGAAATTGTAACTAAAATATAGGTAAGTTTAAAGTTGTATTTTAGTTAATACATATATATATATAATTTGGGTTTAATTTATTTGAATACTTTATGTTATTTACGTAATTGAGACTATTTATCTTTCAATCTATTTATTTTTATATAAATAATAGGCAGTATATTATAATCGTAGTAAAATTAGTCAAGATAGAAAATGATTTACAAACATTTCATAATCTAAGATTTAGTGAAAGATGAAAAAAAAATTCATTACTAAAGGAAAGTATAATACTTTTGAAGGAAAAGAATAAATATTAGAAAAAAACTATATGTACATTAAACTTATTATATTATTAAATTAAATTTAAATTTCATAAAGAGTTCAACTTATTACATTAAATTTACTTTTTTTATTAAAATAAAGAGAATAAATTTAGGATTTTTTTTATAATTTCAAAAATTTTTAAGCGATTTCAAATTACAAAATATATAAAATTTAAGTACTAATAATAAACTTAATTAAGACTTAAAATTTGATATATTTAGATTAAAGACTATAAAGAATCTTTAGAAATATATTTAATAATCAACTATTCAAAAAATTAATTATTTAGCAGATTTAACGAATAATTTTTTATCGCGCAAAGTGCGGCTAAGTTCAATAGTGAGAGTATATAACAAAAGAGAGCGTTGCGTTTTTCAAACTAATACTTTAATAATTTAGATATAAAACTCACAATTTTAATAATTTATATATTACGTTAATTTTTTTTAAAAATATATTTTGATCTTTTATCTCATAATATAAAAAGGATAAACTAGAAATATTGTCACGAGTAAATAAACTAGTTTATTATAATTGCTATTTTGCGAAAGTTCCTTCTTCAAAAATTGAGTGAACAAATGACCCGAAAAGAGTTGAGTGAGGACCCGAATGTGGTTCTTCACTAAATGGGCTAAACCATTTGCCTTTCCATACTAAAATTTGGGCTAATGGGCTTAAAATGGGTATTTACTAGAACCTTCTCGGCTTCAATCCTGTAGTAGTCTTCCGAATTCCATTTTTGTTGCCGTCGATTAATCTGAATTCTTATCAGTTACAATTCTCCGACGACCTTCCCGGAGGATAACTTTTGTACAGAATTCGCCAATTTCATTGGCAAAGTAACTTCTTTCCTTTTATTAAATCAATGCCTCGGTAAGCACAATATTTTTTCAGCTATTTTTTTTCGATTTTATGCGCTTTCAATTCTATCGTTGATCATTTCTGTGATTTTTCAGGTATTTCTGTGACTATTGTGACACTTACTTGACACATGATTCGGTGAGTTTTCTGATTCTATTTTTAAGCTTCACTGTGAATTAAGGTCGTGATATGTTCTACTTCTGTTCTATTCTAATGGTAGCATTGTGTATTTGTATGTTGAAATTAGAACATTAATTTCATAAATTCATCCAAACTTTCAAACAGCTTATGGTCGGTAGTTTGATTGTTTTTTGGCAAGTATAATGCATTTAATTAGCAAATAAATCTAAATTTATTGTTTTGATTAATTAGTCTGTCTGTCCAAAATTTAGATGTTTGAGTCGGCGTAATTTGCCAAGTTAAGACTTAAGATATATGCTTATAAGTTGTGTTAAGTGTCTTTGAGGATACAAGAAAAGATAATAGTCCTAATGAGAATTGTTGTATAGTATGTGAAAACTTTTAAGTCTGAGAAAGAGCGCATTACTAAGGAAAGATTATGGAAAGAATAGCTACTACTTAAAATTCAATTCCATTTTTACATGCAAGAACTGTCTCATGGTATGTCCTAGGTTAAGCATTCGATGTTTATCATTGGATCTTTTACAATGTTAAGCACAGCTGAGTTTTTTATGACTTGAACGTAAACGGAATTTCTAGTTGTGGTTATCAGCAATTATGGCTTAGACTTAGAGTCTGATTGGACCAGTGGAAATCCTAGTCCTCATTCCACAAATAATGCTCCCAGAGTTGGCAAAAGAGTTGCCACGTTTAATGGAGTTTCATGAGGCATATGTTCAAATAATTACTCCACCGCAGATGGACTTTTGAGGTCCATCTAGAAATGGGAAGAGAGCAGATTGAAACTAAGGGGGTTGAATATAAGCTAATTATCTAATGCGTTGGAGAACTGAAATATCATTTGGATATGGAATTATTTGGATCGCCTGGAAACAATGAGTGCTTCGCAATTGATTACCACTTGTCCTATTCATATATGCAAATAAGTTGCAGATCATCAACTAGTAGTGTAGCACATGATGCAATAGCATTTTATATCATAGTTCGTTTACTACTGATGTATAGTTAGTTTATAATTAGTTGCTTCTTTAGTGGGCATTTACACCAACTAGGCTGAAGTAATGTGACAGTATAGCATGAAAAGGTATAAAGCTCTTAAATCTTGATAACAACTTTTTGAGAAGAAACAACTTTCATTTCTCTTTCTATGCACCTCGAGTGATGACTCAGCAAAGGATTATCTGCCAAGTTTCTTTGGAAGCTTTTGTCATGTCAAAATCTAGTAAATAATTCTTTGCTCTTTCTTCTTTAGAAGATAATGTATAGTAGAACATATCACAGACTGGATATCAATATAGCAACTTACTGTTGAACCAATCAAGATAGGGGTTTGAGTGGAACCAGTGACTGCAGACAAGACATGAATTGGGATGATAGTTGGAAGCTTGATCCTAGTGATTCTGGTGCTGGATTTTAGTCAGAACTGATGTGCTGAATGTGATACTAAAGCTGAGGACTAGAATCACAGCATAAGCCAGAAATTATTTTAGTACCTTATAAATCAATCCGCTCTTTTAGCATTTTGAGTGGAATGAAAGAATATAAAAATTTTCTGATAATGTTGGAAAGTAACATTGACCTTTAATCAGATTGTTTGAAGGCTGTATACCACAAGCATAAACCTATGCAGAATTTCATAGGAAAGGTCGATTTAGTTGTCATACAAGAGAATCAATGATGTTGACTGCAATAATTCTGAGGCACTTCATATTTCATATAAGAAGAAAAGACAAAGTACAAGTTTGATAGCTAAGCTCACTTCATTTCTCCCAAAAAATAAAATAGAAGATTGATAGCTGGTTTGTCCAAAAATCTTTTGGGGAATTACAAGAAGGTGTCCACTATTAAATTTATCTGATTTTCGGGAAAGAAGACAAGCGCTACTAAATTAGGAACAATGCAGATTCCTAAAAGATAATGTTGTAGAACTTGAGAATTCAGTAGGAGGTGTTGTTGTAACAAAAAACAAGTTGTAACAGAACTCATTTGATATGGACAAAAGGTGTGTGTTTAAAGCTCACTCTCAACATTGAATGACTATTCCCTTGGTGCAAAAAATAAACTATAAGAAAAATTCATTTGATTTGTACTACCTTGGCTTAATACTATAGTGTGTTTGACTGTGGGGGTGGAACTAGTGTGGTTGCAGCCAGAATTTTGGAGCAGTTGTAGGTGCAAAGAATCAACATATATTTGTGGGAAAGTTAATCTTGTTGAACTTATCCAATTTTGAATCTTTCAGCATCTTAAGCCTTAAGCAATAACTTGTTCCCCGGTGGAAAATCTGAGCTTTATCCGAATGATGCTCTTATTTATCAAAACTCAGCACATAAATCACTTGATGCTATGGTGTATCTTCCAAACTGGAAATATTTTATTGGTGACTTGAGATCAGCTGTACAAATCTTGATGCTAATATTTTCTTTTCTATTTTGATCATTAAACAAGAACGTCTTGATGCGAATATTCGTCATACTTTATAGTGGTACTTGTAATTCTGCTGCACAAAATGTAATCTTTTTCTGCAACTCCTGGGAGTTGTGCACTGTACCTGTTCAAAACAGAACTTCTAAGAGTTGTGCAGTCTATTGTGTGAATGATCTGAAACGGTTTTAGATTGACCTCTGCTTCTTGTTGCTTGGAGATCTGATTCATTTTATTTTGAGAATGGTAACTCTACTCGGAGGTCTAATTTCTTAAATTTTTTTCTCTTAAATTCTCAGCCTTCTGTCAGAAAACAGCATAATGCCGGTTACAAACACAAGGTGTGTGTTCATTTTTTGCAACTTTTCTGACAATCCTGTCTCCTAGCATGAATGCCACGTTCTCTGTGATTCTACTGACGTTAGGAATTGTTTTCAGGCTAATGTACGGTCTTATTATCTGAAGCTTGAGGAGGAGCAAACACAGATTCTGATAGATCAGAAAATCAAGGAGCGCCTTGGGCAGGCAGTAGCCTACCAGCAAATAGGTGCAGCTTATAATCAACATCTTGCTGCCTTCCCTGGTCAAAGACCCCGCCTACCTATGATGCCACCTCCTATGCTGCCTGTTCCAGGAGTGATGCCCCCACAATTAATGGCAGGTGCCAGACCTCCCATTTTGCCTGTTCCAGTTCTTGGTGCTCCAGGTACCAATCCATGTGATTTGTTTGGTGATCCCTCAATATTTTCTGCCAAGTGTTGGTATCTATGTTTATCAGACTGTCTCCGTTTTTTTTTCGTTTTGTACATTGAGTGGGATACTATCCTTCTGTAGGTATTTTATTATGGACTTACTGTTATGAAGCACGCCCCACCCCCACATTGAGGCATTTTCGTGAGTTCCGGAAGTTAATGATTGGTGTCTATAGAAGTTCTGTAGATAGTTGGTTACACTTGCTGCAGGTTAATGAACAGTCAGGTGGAAACAAGATTACTCTGATCTTAACTTCTTGATGTCCTTTTTAGGTTATTCAGCAGTTCCTCCAACTGCACCAACTGCAGGGCAGATGCCACCTGTTGCATCCTTGCCGATGCAACTCAATGCTTTTCCAGCTCCTCCTGCACTGAATCCCCTTGTAGGTGTTCCAGGTGGAGCCCCTCCACCTAGTGTAGGCAGCGCCCCTTTTCCTGCTACACAATCAATGTACCAGCCAAATCCCAATGGAATTGCTGCCTCTTCTGCTAATGAGACAACAACCAGCTAAGTTTGTACTCAAGCCAGTGATATTTTGACCATCTTCTGTGTTCTCAGTAGGATATTATGGCTTCTTAAGGCGTACCGGTACTGAACATCATCAAGTTCTCCTGATAATTGTAGAGAAGAGAGAACTTTTGCTTCTAGGAAGAATATCATGTCCTTGATCTGATTTAATGAGTATTTGCTGGTTCTCATGTATTGTACCTTAAATCTCAAAAAAGGAAACTCGGACTTGTTAGTGCTGAACTACTCTGCCAATAACCCTTACACTATGTTTGGATCATTGTTATCCATTGTATTGTATCGTTGTTATACATACAATGTCTGTTTTGGTTGTTACTTAAAATGCATTGTACTGTATTGTTAAATTTCATTGTTACGTAACAATGGAAACTCCTATTTTATGAAACAATCAATTTGAAAGGGAGCCTAAAAGGTTTTCCTTCGTCTTATTGTTCACAGGAATCTATTGATTTAGGATTTGTCAAACTATACAGTTATCAAGAACAGAGGAGATGAGTAATGGTCACATCTCCTCTGTTCTTGATAACGGTATAGTTTGACAAATCCTAAATCAATAGATTCCTGTAGTTAATTCAACTACTAGGAGACTTTTGTGAAACATACAAGGAGCTATGCCAGACTGGAACACAAAGCGAAAAGCCTTATTCATCAGAGAGTTAATTATCCAACCACGATAGTTAAAACTGAGTGCAACAAAGGTGCATTACTCTAATTAGAGCTTAAGTTCTCCAACTCTAATATCATAAAGCCAATCACTTTATACATAACTTATACATCTACTAAGGTTCCTGTCAGAGGTGAACGCCAATAAATCTGGGGTCGTGATGCAGCTATACCCTAAAATGTTCTTGTGAGACATGAGAATAGTCTTCTGTGGTTCAGCATTTTAAGGAACTATGAGAGGAGCAAAGGTATAAATCAACCCTTTCTCACACACAAAAGAAGGGGAGAGAATAAAAAATTAGTGGAATAAATACATATTGTCAAATGGCTATCTAGTCCATTATTTTTCTCAGAGGTGCCACTGATTGTTTCTCTTACCCATGCAGATCCAAGAAAGCAGAGTACTAATCTTGAGAGATCAAGGAAAACAACAAGTAGGGTTCCACAAGTTTTATAATTTGAAATGTCTCAATTTTGCCTTCACAGAACTTGTTCATCACATGCTAAGTGAAGTGACAACCAAGCTGATGAAACAATCAGTTGTAAGTTGTAACATGCTCTTCAATAAACGTTTGATGAGAGATATCAATAGGAGCAAGCTGAAAATAGCACTACGTCAGGACAATTTTCCTTCAAAGCCAATCCCTGAGTTGCCTGTAAAGAGACATAATTGCATCAAATATAACATCAAGAATAGTTCCACTGTGTGTCATAATCTTCACACAGGTCAAATGTGTCCTAAGCAATCTATAAACATATCTTCCTTCTCTTCATTGCAATAGATAAGTTTCATCACTAACTGCTAAAATAGTTACTTGACCAAGTAAAGACATACATAGCCAATCCTGTTATTTTGGTTGTGAACCAATCGAATAGGGTGGTGATAAAACAAGTTCATTTGACTAAATAGAAGACACCTTGTTTTGATTTAGGTCAGACTGCATTCTGGTTTTAGACTTCTACCACATCCCTGTTTTCCATTCTATTATTCGACGGATCTTATTGTTTTGCAATGAGGACTTGGCTTAAAATTCAGTATTAGAAAGGACTTAATTTACTTGTTAAGTTCTCAGCAGTGTTTAGCAGCCAGGAATTACCTTATAATTCGCTAATCGAAGTGACAGAGCTAAGAATCCTTTCTTGCTTCTGCATCCTGATGTCTCCATGGATTAAGAGCGTCTCTTACAGCCTTGGCTTCAGGAGAATTCTCCCATGCTCTCTTTTCCGCTTCTAGAACAGTCACCTTATCATCTGATACAAATCGCTATTAAATAACCAGCATACTTTTTCTTCAGAGGAAAAAAGTGGTGACACTTGAACAAACCTCTAACATGCTGATATTGTAAGATTAAACCATTATCATTAGCACAAACACAAAGAAAGAGAATGTATGAGCAAAATTAGGCTTCTAGTATAAGTCAGATCCGAAGCCCAATGACAGTGATCTCTAAAACGTAGGGGATGACTGTGATCACTAACTACACCTCAATCACAGTATCGATCGTCTATATGAATCATTTGTATCCATTCAACTGAATTCAGGTCCATTTCATTCCACAAGTCCTCTAGAATACATTATGATAAAAAGAAAATCCAAATATTTCCAAACTGACTCATTTTTTTTTCATTTTATTTTTATGACCGTAGTGTCCAGACCAACTTTCATACAGCTCGAGCTAATTCCACAGATAGCTATCACCTCCCACCGACAACAACAACAGGTACATGCAACTCTATCCACCAAGGTTAGAATATGGGAAGAATCGCCCCATGAAATAAAGATTCAATTTTCTTTTATAATTTTTTAGAAATAAATAATGGGTCAAGGCATACATGAGAACAGAAAGAAATAAAAAAGTAAAGACGATAGAAAAAAAAAGGATAGTTTTCATACAAAATCCAGTCTTAATCATGAAAAACTCCATGGAACCTCCAATCATGGCCGAAACAACAGCAATTTTCAGATACCAATCCCAGAATTTCATTTTACCCTTGTAAAACTGCTTCAATTCCTGCAAATCAAAAGAGAATTTTCACGAACCGAGCAACTACTAATAGTAAACTCGACGATAGTACATGTAAAGCAACTCGAAACAAAAATCACCAAAAATTAAAATTGTTGATCCTATTGATTTCCCCTTCTCTGTTAACTCAATCAAGCATCTATAATCTCAAATTAGTTAGATACATTGCATAAATTCTTATTATTCCTATTCAACTGATTCATCAATCATCAATCATCAAATAGTAAGATTAATTTTACCTAGTCGCCGGAGCAATACTGATTCTTCTTCTTCTCAGTTTTCTCGATTTCTTCAGTTGAATAAAAATCCATAGGTTTGCTTTCCTGTTTGTGTAAGTGGGGCGGGTCAGTACCCATTACGGCCCAATATTTGGGTCTATGGATCCCTATATCATTTTATGAGAAAATTAGATTTCAAATCAAAATTCCCTACTTAAAAAGAACTCAATTTTCACTTATTTATTATTATTATTTGTTATAAAGGAGAGCAAAATGCAATAATACTAAATAAAAAATGGAAGACAAATATTAATGAAAATATAGAGTAGACAATATTCTTTTATCTCTTTTGTTGTGTATTTTCTAAGGGTGAAGATCATCCTTTTATAGGATGTTTAAATCATCTTTTTACAATACCTGATAATACGTCACTATAATAATTAATTAATATAATAACTGTAAACATTACGTTAGAATATATTAAAGAAACATCTACACAATTAAGCGAATTTGTAACACTCCCCTTTGGATGTTTATAGATAATATGCCTCGTTAAAACCTTACTAGAAAAATTTCGTGGGAAAAAGCCTAGAAAAGGAAAAATAGTACACACATCTTGTAATACACTTTGAGTGTTGCCTCATTAAAAACCTTACCAGGAAAATCCAATGGGACAAAACCATGGCTAAGGGAAAAAGAGTACAGCGCGTATTTGCTCCCCCTGATGAAAAACTTATTTGATATCTTGGAGACGACGCATCCCAATCTTATATCTTAGTTTCTCAAATATTGACGTTGGACAATGCCTTAGTGAATAAATCTGCAAGATTTTCACTCGAACGAATCTGTTGAACATTTGTCTCACCATTTTGTTGAAGATCGTGTGTGAAAAAGAACTTAGATAAAATATGTTTTATCCGGTCTCCTTTGATATATCCTCCCTTTAATTGAGCTATCCAAACATCATTATCTTCATAAAATATTGTTGGAGTCTTTGTTTGTACAAAAAGACCGCATAATTGCAGAATGTCTCAACTATACACACTCTCGACTGATTTCATGATAGTTATTATCTCTGCATGATTTGAAGAAATAGCAACTATTGTTTGCTTCATTGAACGTCACGATACAGCTATACCTCCATAGGTGAATAAATAGTCTGTCTAAGATCGGGCTTTATGCGGATCAGACAAATACCCTGCATCTGCATAACCGATCAATTCTGACTTGGATGCATTAGAATACAACAATCCCATATCAATTGTTCCTTGAAGATATCTGAATATCTGTTTAACATCTTTCCAATGTCTTCTTGTGGGACATGAGCTAAATCTTGCCAATAAACTTACTGCGAAATAAATAGTA